ATGCTGCATGTGCTACAGCACATCGTAAACCCATCAAGCCCACGCTGCCGCCTTCTTCACCATCAGCCCTGTTCACATCCACCACCACCACCAGTCGCTGTCATCATTACTCACTCACTTCATCCTTTTTCCCACTCCCTCGTTCACTGCTGCTGCTGTTGTCCTCACCTGCATGCAACACCCACTCCACAGCCACACACCCAGCTCACCACCAATCCAATTCACATCACAACAGCACACACTGTGTTGACTTCACTGCAACCACCAACAACCATCCCATGCACCACCACCAGCACACGATACACACAGCTGCACATGCCTGTTACATTGTATGTTTCCACTTCACGTCAGCAACACGACAGCAAAGCAAACAAACACACACACACACAGACACACGTGGCAAGAACAAGCCAGAAAGCATCCCCATATCAACTGCAAGCAACACACACACAAAACAAGCGACAGCTCCATGCTACGCAACACCGCTTCACTCCCCCATCAGCCGCCATCAGCACCTTCAGCCAACAACAACAACAACAACAGCAGCAGCAGCGTGCATGCTGTGGCAAGAGAGAACAGAGAGAGAAAGAGAAAGGGAGGGGAGGAAGGCAGAAGGACACAAGGAGAGAGACGTGCACGCTGTCAACAACAACACGACACAACAACACAACACAACACGACACAGTCAACACCACCCGCTGACGCTCCCCTCCTTCTCCAACGAGGCGCGTGGTCGATAGCAGCCCCACGTCTTGCTTGCTTGTCCTGTGTCCATGCTTGCTCGTGTGTCCGTGCCATGCCATGGGTTCCAACAAACAGCTTGCACTTCTCCTGCACAAGTATCCATGTGTGTGTGTGTGTGCATGTGCGTGTGGGGATGACAAAGAGGGAAGCGAGGGAAGGGAGCAGAAGAAGAAGCAGGGGAGAGATGGGGAGGTGCGTGAGCACAGACGATGGTGATGGGCGCACACGACGTGGCTGTGGTGAACATACACACACAAGCACAAAGAAGCAGCAACGCACAACAGACAAAACAGACACAAACAGGGGGAAACAAGAGCAGCAGCAGCGGTGCAACACACACACACACACACCGAGGGAAGGACATCAGCCAGCCAGCATCATCCAACACCCCTTGCATCCACTGACTCCATCCATACAGCAGCGGTGGTGGTGGCAGCAGAGGGAGAGAAGGAAGAGCGTGCAGTGCCTGCCTGCCTGCCTTGTCTGTGCGGGGATGTGTGTCTGCACACCCACTCACTGTGTCTGTGTCTGTGTGCGTGTCACCATCCAAACACACACAGGTGTGTGAGACAGAGGGAAGCAAGCAGCCATCACACACACACAGAGTGAATCACAAGCAGACACAGCATGAACGACATGCACGCAGTCACAGTTACAGTCACGCATATGCAAGTGCAACGCACCGTGAGGTGGCATCAGACTGCTGCGTGTCAGTGTGTGTGTGTGCGTGTGTGTTCACGCACACGCGTGTGTGGGTCGATGCAGTCCATCATCCCTCTCTGTGTGCGTGTGAGCCAGATACATCCACGGCAGCAGGAGTACGTGTGAGATCATGTCACAACACTCACCGCAGCCACGTCCCACTCTCTCCCTCCTCCACAACACACACACAAACACACACGCACCCACACAGCGGTCAAACCAATTGACAGAATTCGCCCAAACTCACGGTGCCAGCGTGCCATGGGCCTGTGCAGCACATATGTCAGCCTCACCGACCGTGGGCAAGGCGTTGCATGCCTTTGGCCCTGCACACATCCATGGTGTGGCCGCTGCTGTGCGTGTTCTCTGCTTGCACCTGTGCACCATCACACCATCACCCACCACACCCGACACAATCCACGGAACCAAACGAGACCACCCACAACAGAACCGCCAGTGAGTGCCCGTCACAACGCGCACCCTCTCCCCCGTCTCCACCAACCCTACGCCAGCCACGCACTCGAACAACGCAACCCACCACCTCCCACTCAAGCATACACGCACCTTGATTCGCGTTTCGCTTGTTGCTTGTTTGTTTGTGTGTTTGGTCTTGTTGTTTCGTGTTTGGGCGATTTGTGGAAGATGCCACAAATAATCGCCCACTGCTGCGTTTGTGCAGCAACTTATGCTGTTTGCTTTCTGCGTTTGCTTGTTGAAGGGCGGACTTGCGTGCTCTACTTGGTTGTTTGGTTGGTTGGTTTCAATGAGACAAGAAGAAGAAGAAGAAGGGGAACAGCACTGTGTGTGTGAATGCAACGCAGGCTCACAGGCCTTGCAGGCTGAGGAAGGGCAGGGAGAAGGGGAGAAGAAAGGGGGATGGAAAAGAAGAAGAAACAAACACACACACACACACACACACAGCTGTGCACAGCATGCATCCCCTCCTCTTCTCTCCTCTCCTCTCTTCTTCGCTTCCTCCTCCCTCCTCCTCCTCACAGTCACAACAAACAACCAACAGCCACAAAGGGCTGGAAGAGAAAACAAACAAAGGGAGGGAGGGCAACAGCCACCTAGCCAGATTGCCATGGAAGCAATAGACGAGGCGATAGAGGGGGGGGGGGGGGAAGGAGGACACCGTCCATCAACACACACAAACACACATCTGTTGGGAGCATAACGTCTTCTGTCCTTGCTTTCCCTCCATCCTCTTCCTTGGCCTTGGTTGAGTTAGGTTGGTTGAGGTGGCACAGCTCGCAATGGCGTGGCATGCGTGTGGGTGTGGGTTTGGGCATGGGTGTTGGATGTGGATGGGTTCCTCTGTCTGTGCGTGTGAAAAGGGGGTGGAGGGAAACAGTGGAAGGGGTGGCAGCAGCAGGGAGGAGGAAGAAGGAGAAGAAGCAAGGGAAGGGCGGTGGATGTGAGCATGCCATGCATGAGTGGACAACAACAACACATGGGCGTGCAATGGTGATGATGTGTGCTTGGTGTTGTGCGTTGTATGTGATGGCACAAGGACACAAAGGTCAACCCCAATCACACACACACACACACACACACACCTCGTCGTCGATCAACGCATCTGCTTGACATATGCGCACACGCGCACGCGCATCTGCAGTCACACACACACACACACAGAGTCAGACATGGCATTGCAGAGTGAGACGATGCACCATGCACACGCATGCACAACAATGCAAAACACAACCACCACAACCACAACGACAACATCTCTCCCCTCATCTCCATCCTCCAAATGCACGGTCACATGGCCAGGTGTACAGCCGTGGTGGTGATAATGGCCATGATGAACGCCTTCCTCCCACTTTCCCTCAACCCCCTTCCACCAACAACACACCATTTCGTGCCCTCACCTCGTGCATCGTGTTGCAGTCGGCGTGGTTGATGGCGATGCACACACATGCACACACGCACACATGCACACACATCGCTGTGTGTTCCCAGTTGAGATGAGCAACGGAGGGAGAGGAATGGGCGACACGACACGACGGCCAGTCAACCCCAGCCAATCCAATCCAGCATCAACCGCCGTGTGTTGCCTGCTGCAGTCATCATCACAACCACACAATCACAGGTACAAGCAAAAGGAATGAGCCACTGATGTGTGTGTCATTGTCATGTGATATTACCACCACATGACATCACGTGCATGTGCATACGCACTCCCCATCCCTCAACCAACATCATCGCCCTCCTATCACTTCCCTTCCCTCTCCCTCCTTTCGCTCTGCACTCCCGCATCGCCTCACCACCACCATCACCGTGTCACGTCCCTCCCCCCCTGCTTCCCACCACTCCACACAACACAGCCCACCAACCAACCAACCAACCGCCAACGATCATCCTCACCTGTGCTTGATGCAGCCAGCCAGCCAGCCGATGTGTCACAGCGAAGCCAGAACAAAAGGGAAGCGCAATCACATGTCACGGCCACCATCGTCATCGCTGATGGAGCAGAAAGAGGAGATGAAGGGGGAAGATTAGCGGGCACGGGCCGTGTCCTTCCTTGTCTTCATCCGTGCAGTCCCAAACATGGTGCACAGCGCACATGCACACGCACAGCCATCATCACAGCAGCACCAGTGGTAGCAGCAGCGAGCTAGCCTGCCTGCGTGTATGTCTGTGAGGCAAGGAGAAACCAACCAGAGACGAACAACAATGACCGGCGATGGTGAGAACACGAAAGGAGGGACACAAAGGACCACGCATGGGAATATGCAGTTTGTTGTGGGCGGGTGAACCAGATGCACACAAGAACAACGAAGCAAGCACCCACCAGGCAAGCAAGCAAGCAGGCACACGATGTCACCACCACCGCCACATCCACCACTGCTGCAATACCTGTGTTGGCCGCTGTCTCGATCACGCCTCAACAGCACCACATCGCATGGTGAAGGCTGATGATGATGATGACACAGAGCAAAGGCGATTGGTTGGGAAAAGAAGAAGGGGATTCGGTTGGGGAAACCCGCACACGTCCGCCTGCAGCCACACACACACGCACACGCACATTTGAGTTGTGTGATTGATTCATGTGAGACACACGTCAGTGCAACCACCCCACAGCCAATGTCTGCTCTGATGTGTTGGCACACATGTGTACATGCGTGTACGTGCGTGCGTATGTGCATGCGAATGTGTACTACCACCCCATCATCACACACACACACACACACACAGCGGCAGCGTCTCACCTTGCGCCTTCTTCTCTCTCACATTTGTGTGTGCGTGTATTGCCCTGGTCGTGTCATGAGGGGTTGGGAAGAGAACGGCCACTGTCCTGTGCAAAATCTCACACATGCACACATGCGCAAGCACAAACAATCAAATCAGCAAGAATGTCACGACAAAGTGAGCCTGCATGGCAGAAACAAACCACATCCACCTCCTTTGTCACATTCGCATCACTCAAATCACCACCTGTGCACGCACAATTCACATCCCCACACACAGACACCACATCACCACCACCACAAGCATCACACCTGCACATGCGTGTGTGTGTGCCGTCTACATCCACCACAAACACTCACCACCACCAGCGTCGTCGTCATGCGAGGCAACGGCACACCGACGTACATCACACCCTGTACGTGTGCGTGTGAAGAAAGAGGTGAGTTGTCACAGAATCAGGCTGTCAACGACAACAACACCCGTTGCCAGCACCAGCAGACCCAATGACATCCAACCAACACATCACAATCAATCACGCACATGTACATGCTGATGCTCACACCCAACACATCACACACACCAACCACATCACCTCAACCCCCACCCATTCATCTCACCTCCACATCCATGGCCGCAGCCGCTGCTGTTGGCGACCAATGACGACGAGGACGAGGGGGAGGTGGACGAGATACAGAGGGCCAGTTCATCCACAATGCAGCCAGACATCGGCTGTTGCTGCTGTTGTTGCTGCTGGTGGAAACGGTGAAAACAAACGGCCCCTTGCCATGCCGTGTCCTTTGCTCGCTCGCTCGGCTGCTTGGTTGGTCGGTTGGATAGATGGAGACGGATGCATGGCCCTGTGTCCAAATCAATCGAAAAAAAAGGGGGAAAAAGAAAGACACATGAGTGGACAGAACAGACAAGGAAAGAGGGAAGCGAAGAAGGAAACATCACATGCCAACCAACACACGCACACACACATCTCAGTCGCCCTTCTCACCTTCATCACTCGTCATCTTCATCGTCGTTGGTTCCACCGCTTCATGCGCCTCCTCAACGCTGTCAAATGTGTGTGCACGCACACAAGATGGGAAGAATGCAGGGGGGGTGAGGTTGACAGCGAAGCATCATCAACCGCACGCCAGCCTCATCCAACCGCCCGCATTGACACCCAACCACACGCACGCATGTTGTCCCACTCACCACCATGCACACACACACACACGCACATTGCTCACCTCTTCGTCAGAGCGACTGACATGTGCAATATCTGCCTCACGCCAGATTGGGGCTGGTGTCGGCTGGAGTGTGATGGCGGCTGTGCAGTCAATGGCGATGGCGATGACGGTGACGGCCGAGCTGAGGTGGAAGAGAGGAAAAGGAGAGAGAAATGGGGAAGGGTTGATGATGATGGGGTCGTTCATGGCGGCTTCTTCCCCCTCCTCTGATGTGGCCCTGGCGCCCATGCAACCAACACACAACGACAAGACACGACGACATCGTCACACACAACACACAGGTATGGCATGTGAGCACAGCAGACGTGTTCACCTTCCTGACCCTCCTCTGCTTTCCTCCTCCTCGTCCCATCACACACACACACACACACACACACACACACACACACACACACACACACACACCTGCACATGATTGCGTCGCTGTGGTTGGATGTGCCCACCATGACCATGGACGTGTGTGTCCACAGCTGCTGCTCCCAACCCATCATGTGTGCACCCGCCCATCATCCTCCAACGATCCTCAGGCAGTCGCTCCCTGCAGCCACAAGCACACACACACACACACATGGCATGTGAGCTGCACAGGTACACTGCTGCATGAAGCACAACAGCAGCAACACCAAACACCCTCAGCAACAACAGCAACACATGCACCATGTGCCAACCAAAGCATCCATGATGGGCTCACCTTGCTCACGCATATGGGAACACTGCATGAACACAGCAGTGGCAGCCGAATCGAGGGGAGTTGCAGCAGCAGCAGCCGGCATGCGAGCCCACTTCCATCAACATCCTGATGTGTGCTGGTACCTCACCACCTGTGCATGTGTGCGTGGTTGCAGGGAACGTGGATGGGAACAGAACACAAACAAGCAGACAGCAAGCCATCACGTCAGCACAGCGGAACGAGTGATTGACATCACGCACCACCTGTGCATATGTGTGTGTGTGTGCGTGTCGGTGCGTGACCATCATCTCCATCAACCCCCTTCCCTTGTTCGCTTCACCACACCACATCACACCACCAGCCCATCACACAACCAACCAACCAATCACTCATCACCACCCACATACCATGTGTGAGGCGAGTGCAGCTGGCACCCGTGGCAAGTATCCTTGACATTTCCCTCATCCTGCTGCTTGCGAGTGTGCATCGCCTGTAAGTGTGTTTGTGTGCGAGCACCAGCATGGCGAGTGAGTGGAAGGGAAGAGGGAGCATGGATATGTGTGCAGCTACACTGCTGCAGCCACTGCTGCAGATGCTTTGCGTGCATGTGTGTGAAGGAGAAGAAAGGGAAGAGGGAGAGAAAAAGAAAACAGAAGGGAAGGAACAAGACATGCTGCACCCCATCCATCACTCTTCCTCACACCACCACCATCTTAGGCACTACCGTCCTCTGTCATCAGCCAGCCAGCCACACCACACCACACCACACTCACCCAGCATCCCCCACCCCACCCCACCCCACCTCATCCATCCATCCAGCCAACACATATCTTCGCCTTCCCTCACCTCTGCTGCTGCCGCTTCCAGCCGAAAATGCAACTTGTGCTGTCGCATCTGCAGCTGCAAGCAGCGGGCGATGGGTTGGTTGGTTGGTTGGTTGGTTGGAGGGATGTGTTCAGCAGCAAGTGGTGGTGGTGGCGCTGCTGCTGCTGCATCGGCGGTGGAGGGTGCGTTGGCTGGTGCTGCTGTTGTTGTTGTTGTGATGGCCGTCAGGGAGGGCGAGAAAGAGAGGGGAATATAAGCAGCGGCTGCAAGTTGGAGAATGTGCAGGTGTGCAAGCAGTTGTGTATGAGAGGACGAATGAGACACTGCATCAAGCAAGGCAATACAGACAGCCACCACACACATGCATGCACATTGATGTGGGACAACAAGGGGAGACAGGAGCAGCAGAGACAACGAGCACAAAACACGCGCAGTGATGCTGTGCGCATCATACACACATGCTGTGATGCACTCACATTGCTCATCGCTCGCTTGTTTGTTTGTGGTGTGTGTTGGTGTTGCTGCTTCCGCAGCCGCACAAGGGTGGCTGGATGGTCATCACATGGCAGCGCCCGTGTGTTCATCCCACCAGAGCAGTGGTGCTTGGTGGAGGGGGAGGTGGGGTGACAGCTGCTGGCTCAAGGGCCCTCTGTGTTGTGACAGCCGAAAGGAAGGAAAAACAAGCGTGGAGGGTGGTGGTGGTGGTGAGGATGGGAAGGATGTGAGCAAACACACAAGCAAATGAGGAGGTGATGATGGCGTGTGGATGGGTGGAGAAGAGAACACGCACGTCAACACACACACTCACACACATGCACACCTGCCACGCGTTGTCGCCGCTGAACAGGTTGATCCTGGCAGACTCCAGTGCTGACAGTAGCAAATAGCACATTCAAGTCAAGACACACGAGTGGCAGATGGTGAGAGTGGTTGAACGGACACGAGAACAAGTGAGCCACGCACACACCAAACCATACTCCCCACATTCACTGCACAGCCCCCTGTCCCAACAACACACTCCCTCACCTGTGTGCACTTGGGTGGAGATGGACTTGAAGAACTCCTCAAACACAAACACAACGCGTCTCTGCATCATCTCCACCACCTCATCAGGGATCGACTGCAGGATCCTCGGAAGCTGAACACAGTTGTGTGTGTGTGTGTGTGTATGTGTGTATGTGTGTGTGTGTGTGTGTGTGTGTGTGTGTGTGTGTGTGTGTGTGTGTGTGTGTGTGTGTGTGCGTGACATGTAAGCCATCACCAAACACAAAACCATCAAAGCACATCACCCCTCACGCATCGCTTCACATTCCCATATCACCGATCTGTCACCGCACCCCGAGAAGCCTGTGATCGGGGAATGCGAATGCTGAACGTCTCCCAGTCCAGCAGGTCCTGGTAGGGCTGCAAGCGCGCAAAAAGCAAACGCCAGAACATCACACCACAGCGCCATGAGCGACGGGAGGGGTACATCCGCACAGTGATGTGACACACAAGAAACACACACACACGCACACACACACACACGCACACACACACACACACAATGTACAATCCATCCATACGCACCAGCACGTAGTGATCGACGACAATGACGGGGATGGCACCCGCAGCCATGATCTATGCGGCATGAAAGGGTGTGACAGGAGATGGAAGGTGGGCAAGACCCCAAACAGGACCGAAATCGTCCGCAACACACACACACACACACACACACACACACACACACACACACACCACACACACACACACACACACACACACACACACGCCACACACCTGAAGGAGTGGTTGCCAAGTCCTTCCACGATGAGCCCAAACTTGGTCTCCAGCGCCAGCTCCGTGTACGTGTACTTGTTGAACTCTTCCTCTGCCTGCTTGCACGACGGGTCATACCCAACCTTCGCCCTCACGACCCATGCGCTCTTTGCCAAACCACCGGCACGCGCACACCAGCACAATGTCCCTGCGCATATACAAGCAAACATACAAAGAGACGATGTGTGTGCGTGTGTGTGTGTGTGAGGTGGATCCAGACAGACACGCACACTGTACCAAAACCAGCTAACTCCGAGGCAACACACAACACACAAGGGAACGCAGTAGCACACAACACATCGCACGCGTAGCACACCACACCTACCGTTGTGCAGCTTGGGGAGGCGGTTGCGCATGGCATCAGAATGAGCAGACTTGATAGTGCGTCTGCACAACAGGGAAAGAAGACACATGTCAAGCAGTGGCACCACAACAGGTTTGGAGTGAGATTGCAGCGGTTACAAGAAGGGCGAGCAGTGGTGCAGTGAGCGACACCAACCTCTCAAAACCCAAGCAGCAGCAGTAGTGAACATCGAACCTAACATCGCACCACGTCACAACACGCATGCATGCATGCACAGACCTGAAGGTGACGAGGTATTTCCTGTTTGTGCGGGCGGAACGCGTCGCTGCTCCGGTGTGAATGAATGAATGTCACCATGGAGAAGAGTGGCATGGACACACCGAGGCCGTCACGGTGGTGGAATTCACTGAAGTGGTGTGATGAGATGGAACAGACAGGAGTGGTGAAGCGTGTAAGCATCAGCAGTCGCACATGGTGCGTGCCAACCCAATATTCACTTCTCTTCCAACACACACACACACACACACACACACACACACACACACACACACACACACATGCACGCCTACCTGTGTCAGTGCCGCAGATTGACGAGGAGCAGGTGATGGACGAGCAAGGGCATGCGACACAGCAAATCGTTGCCAGCCAACACCCACCACCATACCACTTCTGGAACGGACAGCATGGTTGTGTCCACCCCACTTGCGGCTGTATCGACGATGAGGATGGATGGCGAGTTGCATGGAATGCCGTGGCAGGAAAAGCCCATTGTCCACAGCCACGCCGCTGATCCACTTGCATCCGCCCTGCAGCAGTTCATCAAGCGTGGTGGTGTCTGTTGTGCTCGTGCTGCGATCAGTGGTCAGACCCGTAGAGGAGGGTGTTGTGAGACAGCCAGCACGCCGTCTGCAGTGCCCACATGGCTCAACCGGTTTGCAGACTGTTGATGGTGGTCGTGTCAACCACTGCTGTTGTTGCTGTTGCTGTTGTTGCTGTTGCTGTTGTTGATGGGCTGATGATGAGCACAGAGGTGGTGGGAGTTGCATCAGAGGGATGCCGTGGATGAGGCCGGTGCTGGTAACGACGCCACAAACCCCCAATCGCAAGTTGCCAGTGCCTTTGCCGAGTGCATCTTGGATGCTGTTGCCAGACGGTGGGCTGACTGACAGTGTTTGTGGCTGGTGTCACACATGTGTATGCAACGGCCAAGAAGGAGACTTGTTTGCGGCTGTTCACTGCCTGCTGGCTGGGCTGCTGGCTGGCTTGCCGTGCACTTGTCGTGCTTTTGTCCCGGTCGCAAGCAGCACAGCAGTTGTTACCCCCTTCCCTTTCGTTCCTCCACGCAGAGCACTGCTCCATCAAGCCGTTCGCCCCTGCGTGTGCGTGCTTGTGCATGTCTGTGCCTGTGCGTGCTTGTGCGTCTGCCTTCCATCACGCAGCAGTGAACCCTTTCAACAACAAAGTAGAAAGTGCTGACTCGGCACAATTCTGTTTGTGTTTGTGTTTTGTGTGGGGAAGAAGACAAGAAGGAAGATGCGCTGCGTGCAACGGCAGTGACAGCGCTGCTGTGGTTGGTGGCGGTGTGCTGTGTGTGCTGTTCAGCCACCGTGGCGAGCGTCGTCTCAAGCTCACGTCCAGTGCACCAAGATGAAGGTGTGTGTGTGTGTGTGTGTGTGTGTGTGTGTGTGTGTGTGTGTGTGTGTGTGTGTGTGTGTGTGTGTGAAGCGGCTTGCGTGCCCATCCCCTCCTCCCATCGCTGCTCTCACCTACCAACACTTCTCCCCCCCCCCTCCATACACACACACTCGCACACTTGCACACACCGCGCTGACAATCGAACGTTTGCGTTTGCTGGCAACATGGCGCAGACGTCCATGACGCGTGAGGCGTGTGCCACGCTCTGCTACACCTTCAACTTTTTCACTCAAGCGCCGTTGAGTACGGCTACCAATGCTTCTTCTGCGAACACCCAAGCTGAATTCCACCGCGCAGTCTCGGCGGTGTGTGTGTGTGTGTGTGTGTGTGTGTGTGTGTGTGTGTGTGTGTGTCTGTGTCTGTGTGTGTGTGTGTGTGTGTCTGTGTGTGCGCCTGTGTGTGTGTCTGGGTGAGAAAATAGTAAAATAGAACAGCAATTACCCCCGCCAGAGGAAAAGACTCGTTGGGTTTATTTTTACAATATATAAACCCCAGAATAAGAAACACATCAACGGCGAAAAACACAGAAAATGGGGGAATCGAATATCAATGAACCCGCTTACCGTAGAATTTACAGAAAGATCCACTAATCTCAGATCCAGAATATAGACATCACACGTGCGGAAAGGATTAAGAAATTAAAAGGAAAGAAAAAAGA